TTAAATAAATAAATAAAGTTAATTATTTAAATAATATATAAGATTTTATTAAAAAATGATATAAAAAATTATTTTTAAATCATTTTTCTATTTACTTTGTTAAATTGAGGAAAAAAGTGAAAGTGGAAGTTGTTGGTATTTAAAATATCAAAAATATTTTAAATAATTTTTTATATATTAATTTAATAAAAGTATTTAAATAATTTTATGAAAAATTTTAACATTTTAGGTTTCTTTTGATAAGGCTTCTTAGTCTTTTAGTTTCTGATTTTTGTATTTTTTTATTATTTTAAAAATATATAAAATGTTAATTATAATAAATATTAAATATATAAATAGATAAAAATATTTTTAAGATTTTAAAAGTAAAACAGTGTGAATCCCATTGGTATTATCATTGATCAAACTCATATATATACAGCATATAATGGACAAAATTACACAATTGCCCTTCACTAATATATAATACTCTATCATCCCCCCTCAATTTGAGTAGGATTAGAAAGGATGCACAAATTGCCACGCAAGGACCGAAAATGCATAATCGGAAGTGCCTTTGTCAAAATGTCAGCCCACTAATGACGAGAGGAAACATATTGCAATCGAACTTGCTGAGATGCAACCTTGTCATGAACAAAATGCAAGTCAATCTCTATATGTTTAGTACGTTGATGCTGAACTGGATTGGTTGACATGTATAAAGCACTGATATTATCACAATAAAGAACAGTGGGGAAAGACACCGGAAAATATAACTCATGAAGAAGTTGACGAACCCATGTTGCTTCAACTACAGCATTAGCAATGGCACGATATTCTGCCTCAGCACTAGAGCGGGACATTGTGGATTGCTTTTTAGAGGACCAAGAGATCAAAGAATTACCGAGAAATAGACAAAACCCAGATGTGGATCGACAAGTATCAAGGCATCCTGCCTAATCAGCATTAGTAAAAAGATGAAGAGAAATTGTCTTGATTCGGCGAAGCTGAAGACCATAATGTAAAGTGCCTTTCAAATACCGAAGAATACGTTTCACAGCCTGAAAATGATAAACAGTAGGAGAATGCATATATTGAGAGACTTGCTGTATTGAGAAAGCAATATCAGGATGAGTGAAAGTAAGGTATTGCAATGCACCAACAATACTTCGATACCCAGAAGGATCAGAATGGCGTGGACCATCATTAAGAACTAATTTCTTCCTGGAATCAAGAGGAGTGGCTACCGACTTGCAATCAGACATACCAGTACGATCTAGTAAATCAAGAACATATTTGGATTGCTCTAAAAAGATACCATCTGAATTATGAGTAGCAGAAACACCCAAGAAATAATTCAACGGTCCCAAATCTATCATTAAAAACTCCTTCTTTAAAAGAGAAAGCACTGAAGATAATAATGAGGAAATAGATGCAGTCAAAATGATATCATCAACATACAGTAATAGCACTGCCATGGACCCACGGTTTCTATACAAGAACATAGAAGAGTCAGTTTGAGCTTGAATAAAACCACAAGATTTCAAGAAAGAAGCAAACCGATGAAACCATGCCCGAGGAGCTTGTTTCAGACCATAAAGAGCTTTCTTCGGCCGGCAGACATAATCAAGATGATGTTTGTCAACAAACCCTAGAGGTTGAGACATGTATACTGGTTGCTCTAGTTCACCATTCAAAAAAGCATTTTTAACATCTAACTGATGAATCGGCCAAGATGATGAAATAGCAAGAGTCAAGACTGTCCGAATGGTCACTGGTTTAACCACAGGACTAAAGGTGTCATCATAATCGACACCAGGTTGTTGAGTATATCCCTGAGCAACCAGACGAGCTTTAAATCTTTCTATGGTACCATCTGATTTCTACTTAATTCGGTAGACCCATTTAGAACCAACAATATTAACAGTAGGAGGAGAAGGAACTAAATCCCATGTATTATTGCTCAAAAGAGCATTATACTCCTCTGCCATTGTGGTACACCACTCTGGTTGACGAACCGCCTGAGCAAAAGTTTTCGGCTCAATTAACGAAAGTGTAGTAGAAACCAAAGAGGGCAAATGACGCACCTTACGAGTTCTATCTTGAGACCTCGTTACCATAGGATGTGTGCTAACTGCTGTAGGAGGATGCTGACTAGAACAAGGATCAGATGTATCAATTGCAGGCATGACAGAAGATTGTTGAGCATTCGGCAGGACAGAAGATTGTTGAGCACTCGGCGATGGAGGCAGTGAAACAGGTGGCAGACATGCAGCAAGTTGTGAGGAAACTGGAACAAGTGGCGGACATGCAGCAGGTGACGGACATGCTGGAGTGGAATGGTGGTGTGCTGGCAAACCAAAATTAGGTGGGGAAGGAAGGATGGCGGGCTTATTATTGGAGAAAGTTGTGGGCTTGGAAAGTGGGCTAGAAAGTTATGGAGAAGAATTTGTGGTTGGGCTTGGTATGAAGGGGCTAATGGGTGATGGAGAATTAAGAGGCAAAATAGTATCCAAAAGGTGAAAGGGTGTGCGAAAATCAGAGGATGAATTTGGTTTATGTGAGATAGAAGTGGTAGAAGTATAAGGAAAACTGTGTTCATCAAAAATCACATGACGGGAAATAATGATTTGATGAGTTTCCAAATTCAAACAGCGAAAGCCTTTGTGATGGGATGAGTAACCCAGAAAAACACATAATGTGGAACGTGGGGCTAGCTTATGTGGGGCAATAGCTGATAAATTTGGGTAGCAAGCACATCCAAAAATTCGCAAATGATCATAAGAAGGCACTTTTCCATAAAGAACCTCATAAGGAGTTTGAAACTATAACCTGGAAGTAGGTAAAATATTGATTAGGTGAATAGCAACATGTAATGCCTCCACCCAAAATTGTCCAGGTAGATTTGCTTGAAATAAAAGAGAACGGAGCATATTAGCGATCGTTCGATTCATGCGCTTGGCTTTCCCATTTTGTTGGGGAGTCGAGGGACAAGATGATCTCAATTGTATTCCATGTTTCTGAAAATATAAGGCAAACTGCATATTATCATATTCTTTTCCGTTATCACACTGCAAAGCTTGAATATGAGCACCAAATTGATTAGAAACAAATGTAGAAAATTTAGTAAAGCAAGAAAAGACTTCAGACTTAGACTTGAGAGGATAAATCCAAATATAATGACTAAAATCATCCAAGAATAAAATATAATATTTAAAACCACCAAAAGAACAAATTGGAGAAGTCCAAACATCACTGTGAACTAACTGAAATGGCTTAGTTGTCATAGAAACAGAATCCGAAAAAGAAAGACGAACATGTTTACCTAATTGACAAACATGACATAAACTAGAACTACCAACTGTTTTAGTTGTAGGAAGAAAACCACGACGAACTAAATGATTGAATGAGGATGAACTCGGATGACCAAGACGACAATGCCAAACTTGAGGAGAAATAGACACATGATAAGCTGCTGGAGACTGTTCAGAATTGCCAGAAAAGGAATATAGACCACCCGAACTATTGCAACGAAGGAGGACACTCTTCGTCTGTAAGTCCTTAACAGAAAATCCAGAAAGATCAAAATCAACACTACAATTATTATCCTTTGTAAATTGACGAACAGAAATTAAATTTTTAGAGATGTTTGGAAAAACCAAGACATTATTAAGTTGAAATGAATGATCCTTAGACAAGAGCATACTATGACCAATATGAGAAACAGGTAAAAGCTGACCATTACCAACTTGAATAGACTCACAACTAGTATAAGGAATAGAAGAAGATAAATGACCTGAATTTTTTAAGACATGAACTGCAGCACCAGAGTCAAAATAACAGCTAGAATCACCACTGGCAGTGGAAGCATTATCAGCTATGAAGGTTTGAGGATAAGAAAGCTGCTGTGAAGTACGAGGTATAGATGGACAATCACGAGCTTGATGGTTTGGTTGAAGACACCATTGACAGATCACAGGTGTAGGCAGTAAAGGAGGGAGAGTAGTATTATCCCATGAAAATCTTGTAGTAGGACCAGAACTTGAAGATCGATAGCCATGAGAGGTGAGTGGTCGAGGTGATGAATAATCTGGCCAAGGATAATTTTGTTGGTTGTGAAACCGTCCTCCACCAAAATACCTTTGTTGTTGTCCATTAAATCTTGCACCAGAATACCGACCTCCGCCTCTACCCCAAGAATTATTCCGACCACGATTATTGTTTCTGTTTGGAGGTCGAGGAGAGTAATTAAAATCTCTTTGTTGGTGTGATGAGGTAGAAGACAACAAGACTTGTGGAGATGAAAAGGGAGCCGCAGCCATGGCTTGTCCAGATTCACGCAACACAGTAGCTTCCTCAATCAACAACAGGGAACGAAGTTGATTAAAAGAAGGAAAGGGCACCCTTTGCGGTATAGTGCGTTTAGAAACAGTATAAGTAGAATCAAGTCCAGCCAAAGTATGCAAAACCAGATCTCGATCAGAAACAGATTCACCAATTCCAAATAGTCGATCGGAAGCAGTCTTGGCACGTTGAAGATATGAGATCATAGATTGTTCTGGTTCTTTTTTTAACGCCATGAACTCCTGACGATATAACATGGACTGAGCAACAAGTTGGTCTTGGTGAGATTCTTGAATCGCATCCCATGCTTGCTTTGCAGTAAGTGATCTTCCTGGTTGAATAATCATTTGAAGAACCTCAGAAGCAATAGTAGATTGAATCCAGGAGAGGACTTGACAATCTATCTGGTGCCATTGCTCAAAAGTGGAATCCATAGGTGATGGGCACGAATCGGATCCGTCAACATGTCCATAAACTCCTTTGCTGCGAAGAACAGGAATCATGAGTTCTTTCCAAAGCATAAAGTTTTGATGGGTCAATGTTTCAGGGACAAGATGTTTAATATTTGAGACTGAGAACACAGGATGAGTAAAAATTGAGGAATTTGTATTTGGTATGACAGGATTAAGGACAGGGATAATGGGAAGTGTTGATTCAGAAGAGATCATTGGAGTAGTGGTGGTGGTAAGGGCTGAAGAAGACGCCATGAATACAAGACACAAAGAAACTAGAGAAGAAAAGAGGAAACCTAGATGGCGGAAAACCTAGGAGAAGCTAATCAATTTGATGCCCTAATTCGTAGCTCTGATACCATAAAACAGTATGAATCCCATTGGTATTATCATTGATCAAACTCATATATATACAGCATATAATGGAAAAAATTACACAATTGTCCTTCACTAATATATAATACTCTATCAAAAAGACTAAAACTCATAACTGCATCTACTGACCAGTTCTATTAAATTAAGTCTTAATTGTCAAAACATTTTGATTTCTCACAATTTTTAACGTGAATCTATATACAGTTAATTTGACTGAAATCACATGAACCTATAAACTCCCACATGACTTTTCACTCATGTCCCTACAAAATCAATTTAATTTTTATCTAGATTTATAATTTTTATTTTCATAGTAGTGAGTAAAGGTAAAAAAAATTTTACTCAAAAAATATACTAAAGATAACAAATTACTTCATTTTTTTTTTACCCAATTTATTTATAGGATTGAGGAAAAATTAAGATGTTATGATAATTAAAATATTAATATTGATAGTAAAGAAAATACTCTTAATGAATCAATACATAAAAAAAGACTTATTAAGAATATTTATATAATTTTATAAAAAATTTTGACAATTAAAATATTAATACATCTTAATTTTTACTTTTCTCTTTATTTATTTAAGTAAAATGTTACAATCTCTATATTAAAATAAATATTTTTTTATACAAAATT